AAATTTATAACTCAGTTGACAATGCTACTTAGATACCCGCAACGCATGCATTAAAAACGACTGTTTTTACTGCAGTATGACAAAAACAATACAGGGTGATTTGTACTCAGTGTGACAAATTTTTTTTTTTTTTATGTAAGTACAAAGTAAATGAAGTGTGATGATGATGACAATCAGAAAACACAAACACATATGTGACAATCATATCAAATGTTCCAAGTCTCAAAATTAGCGTCCCAAAAAAATATTTTATGTTTTTCAAAAATAACCATGCTTTTAAACTTAATACAGCAATTTCTCAATTACCTGTATATGGATTTGAGTAGATAATGTCATTTTCGTGTTCTACATTAAATTTTGAACAAGAATAATGGAAAATGACGAAGGATCAGTTGTAAAAACTCCATTGTAAATAGATTCAAAGATAAAAATTTTAAAAACAATGGTCTATTGCATTTTTCACACCCTGTATACAAGAAAGTGTCGGAATATGTTAAAAACTGTGCCATGTTATAAGCTTTCCAACCATATGCTACACTATTGAGGTTTAGATATTTTTTTGTTTGTTTTAGTGGTTTGAATACCAGAAAACAGGGAACTTTTTTACTGTTTTTACTGTTCAAGCTGAATCAAAAATACATTTTTGGCTTAATACATGCCGACTTTCTATGTTTTAAATGTTAAAGACACCATGCTTTGCAGTCTTCAAACCATTAAAGCGTACATAAACAGACATAAACCTCAATAGTGTAGCATATCGTTGGAAAGCTTATAAAATGGCGCAGTTTTTAACATATTCCGACACTTTCTTGTATACAGGGTGTGAGAAATGCAATAAACCATTGTTTTTAAAATTTTTATCAAACATCTTAATTTTTATCTTTGAATCTATTTACAATGGAGTTTTTACAACTGATCCTCCGTCATTTTCTATTATTCTTGTTCAAAATTTAATGTAGAACACGAAAATTACATTATTTACTCAAATCCATATACAGGTAATTGAGAAATTGCTGTACTAAGTTTAAAAACATTGTTTTTTTTTTTTTAAGCATAAAATAATTTTTTGGGAAGCTCATTTTTAGACTTGGAACATTTGATATGCATCATCACACTTCATTTACTTTGTACTTACACCAAAAAAATTTTGTCACACTGAGTACAAATCACCCTGTATAATATGAACCCTTGATGACTCCGCTCAATTTTGTGGATGCCTCTGTGAACGCCACCTAGTTAACTAACACAAAGCTCTCTGTATCCATGTACAAGACTTTCTGTGACTGTGTACAAGAAGACTATCTGTGTCTGTGTACAAGAAGACTCCTCTAAAATAAGGCAACTTTAAATCAGCAGCATGTTTTATTATATCCAAACTACTTAATGGTTTTTCTGGAAGTCTTTAAATTATTTCCTGTGAGTACATTTTTGTTTTTACTTTTACTACCAGATTCCGTATAAGGTCTCAAATAGAGCCACTTACCGAATTACCACTTACTTTATTTTTCCTCTTGCAGGCACATTTTGGATTTTTTCTTTTTCCCAACAGGTTTTTTCTTTCTTATTTGTTTTTTAATTTATAAAGTATTCTCTTTTCCCCCACCAAGTTTTGCTTTAGTTTTCATTATGTAAGTAACTGCCAAGGAGGCAGCTCTCTCACCAATACTAGAGTCTGAAGCTTTTACCCTTTCCCAAGCTAATAAGCTGTCAGCCACTGATCTAATTTTACTATCCTTCGATCTTGAGTATGCTATATCGTGGTTTTTGCGTGCAGCATCCAATTTATTTATGCCTGGATCACCCCTTGCTTATCTCTTCCCTAAATTCGTTCCAGGTCCACAGTACTGATAGCCGGGTATGTGAAATTCTACAGGTAAAATACCCTGTGTCTGTGTAAAAGAAGATTATCTGTGTACATACAGGGTAAATAAAAAGTCAAGACTCCCCCATCTAATATTTTTCTAAGTTAGAACATACTGTGTCTTCTTGTACACAGACACAGGGTATTTTACCTGTAGAACTTCACATACCCGGCTATCAGTACTGTAGACCTGGAACGAATTTAAGGAAGAGATTAACAAGAGGTGATCCAGGCATAAATAAATTAGATGCTGCATGAAAAAACCACGATAAAGCATACTCAAGATCGAACTATAGTAAAATATACTCAGATAACCTTTTGGTGGTCGTGCAAACTTAGCATAAAGTTTCATTTTATGATTTTTTTTAAGTTTTAGTGTCCCCAAAAAATGAGGGATTATGGGCTCAACTGGAGATTACTCTATATACAAGATGTATTAACCTTTTAACAATAGCAATTTAATTTTAAACCGTATAAATTGGAATTCTGTCAATTAGGTTTTTTTAACCCGACCTTATGACAGTGTGGATCTTCGGATCCGGATCCGAATTTTTCAAGATACGGATCCGGTACCGACATTTTCTTGGATCCGCCCATCACTAATTTTAACTAATCGTATTTTACTAACTGTGCACTAATAGGAGGTTTCGATTGCTATAAACTAGAAAGAGTCACTATAAAACCATTTTTCACAACATTTGGTTTGTAGTAAAATATTGCCTAGTTATTATAAAATAAAGTAGCCTAGTTATTGAATGTTATAGGCCCTAATGCTAACCACTGGACATTTCATATTGACCTCAACTATACAAAATGTTTTTTTGTAATTTGTTGTAATAAATTCTTGATTCTTGATTCTTGATTCTTGCACCACACAAGAGCAATTATTATAGTTTTTTAAGGCTTATAATTATCTATATATAATTGTGAAATGTCAATCAACGCACAAAACATTGCAGCTGCAAGCTCACAATTTCGTATTACAAAAACCTCGTTATTGGGTACGCAAGCAGTAAGATCGTTTTTCGAAATTCCCAAAAGGCTCCGCAATACACTAGCGGATCAAAGTGTTTGTGAAGTGTTATAGGAAGAATGCTTTGTTTTGATTTCTTTATTTTAACAGTTGTCTGCTATCTAAAGCTAATCAATTCCTGTTATTTAATTTAAACTAGTTAACCGCCCGTGCTCCGCCACGGGAATAATGTCAGCAATAAAAGACAATTTTAGAGGGTATTAAAGGTCCAATCTTATGGTAAAAGGAGTCGTTGATCTTAAAATTATATAGAACATCAGATTTTGATTCATCTAAGTGAGACTCAGCAGAACTCGCCATTAAAAATTAGTCATTTGATCTTATATTATTCAAAAAGTTTTTTTTTTAAAGTGTTTTTGTTTTTTTTTTACATTGGATGTAGCCCCCTGTTGATAAGATTTTCCATGAACTCAGAATGTTGATAAGGAGCTAATTTTATCTTCCCCTTACAACAACATGAGGACAATGTATTTGTGCCCCTTGTTAGTCTGTTCTGTCTCGAAATTCATAGATTTGCAGTATTGACAAATCTAATTTAACGATCCCAATTCAAAAGAGTCAGTGTTGTTGTAGGGACTCCCAGAGCACATTTAACACCATCACTGTTCTTTACTTTTTTAGTTCAACGGTTCTGTTAGAAAAATAATAACAAATAACTCACAGCTGACAAATGGTTTATAACTAATGGGTTATAACTAATTTCATATTCAATAATAATTGTAATTACTCGGCCTTTGAAGGGCTGTATGTTGTAGCCCTTAGTAAAATGTATACACTTAAGAAATTCGGCAAATCTGCGCATTTTTCCCTTTATATTTATATTCCCATTATATTTGATTGAAACATAAATCTTGTATAGCGGTCCAGTAGTCACTGAGAAAATAGACTTACAACTGTGTAATAAATATATAGATGTCCTATAAAGGTTGTTGCCATCAGCTATTTTTAAAGTACACACTAATTTCAATTTCAGTATTTATTCTATTAATACAGTTACCAAGCTTATAGTTGTAAAGCAATTAAATGTTATCATTATTTTATTTACATCAAAACGGTTCTTCCTTAGTTTTATAATAATGTATACAAACTACTTGGGAATTACATAGTCTAAAAATATAACCAATTCATTGTATTCCTAAAGAGGTAAGTTTAACAGGTATGCGATCGAACGAGCGCAATGCTTGGGCTCGGAGACCTATATAAAAACACCGGCGGCGTGTTGCAAAGAATAAGCATAGGGCATTCGCCGGGCCTTCTGTGGCTGGTAGTATAGCGGCAGTGGTTGTGGGGGAAGGTATACATTAACGATCACATAAACGCACGTCGGTTACGTCATGCCACTACGTGTGCGGCAACTGTGTGTGCAAGCGCTGCACTGGAGGCGGAGCCAGATCGAGTTTCAAGCCACGGCCGCTAGGAGCGACACTGCATGGAGGGTTTACTCGACTAGTTCGGCTGAAATTGTTGGCAATGGATTACAGTACACTATAAGAGGTCTAGTGTAGATATAAAGTCAATGACGTCGGTCCGTCATAACCTGATTCAGTTTACTTCCAGTCCCGCCCACTGCAATATGTACACAAATTTATAGGTCTATCTATAATCGTTTTGTGTTAAATGTTTGTAACGTATTCTATCGACACCTCTAGAAGTGGATCATTTTTTAAGCCTGACAATGGTGGAGTGAATGAACCGCCAAAACATATGTAGCAAGTAAAATTTGACACCACCGTACATTTTAAGGATTGTCTGACACGGTGTGTTTTTATCATTTTTAAAAGTAATATTAATTACGAATAGCAAAATGTTGGTGTTGATAGTGAACTACTTAGAAACACTTTTTGGGCTGCTTATACAAAATTATACATTCGTATGACAGCTAGCAGAAAAATATCCCCCCCCCAAAAAAAATTCCAGTGGAACAAGCACGCTATGGTACCTCCCTCTGGGCACCCTGATAATAATGATATTGGCTAAATAACAAGCTGATCTTATTCAGTAACAAATCTGTCATTTCATTTATTTTTGTTTACTAATCTTCACCCTAAAATAAGCACCCTGATTTGTCGGTATCATACAACTCTAATGTATTATGTTGTTGATCAGTTTTAGAAGAGAAGATGATTGTCAGCAGTGAATGGTTGTTCTTGGGCTGGTGTTTGCACTATGTTCCGTTCTGGGCCATGGGTAGAGTTCTGTATTTCCATCACTACTTTCCTGCATTACTCTTCAGTTCAATGCTAACAGGTATATATAATACTAGCAGAGTACCCGTTCTTCGTACGGAGTTGGCGTATAAGTATAAAATTATTATTGCAGTTATACTCGTGCTTTGCGTTTGCAATGGGAGAGGACACGGTTTAAGAAAATTTTGTTTAGTTTATGGTATACTATAGTATAGCACATCTACCATAGTTATAAATGTTCTACCACTGCACCTAAACAATAGAAAAAGTAAAGTTCTCATTGTGTATCACAGCTTTTTGTTGCTGCTTGGTTCAAATTAGCTGTTGTCATAAATTAAAAAAAAATATTGCTGCACCTTGTTGGTAAACTTTATAACGCTATTGAATATCATAGAACCAACTTGTGTAGTTGAAATCAACTATATAAAGAACTAGAGTTACTTATATCGTTGGTTAAAACAGCTGACTAAATTATTTAATTCCTTTTAAATATGAATACTCATAAGGTTAACATGGGAAACTTCAGAGCCACTGGGGCAGAGCCCGAAAGGATTTTTGACATAAAAATATGCCTGTATGTTAATCAGGAATGTGAGCTATCATCATGCCAAATTTCAGCCCAATCCGTCCAGTAGTTAAAGCGTGATTGAACTTCAAACAAACACACAAACTTTCACATTTATAATATTAGTAAGATAGTAAGATAAGATAAGACATTCAACTTTTCTTGTGATTTTAATACATTACAGTTTTTCTTTAAAATGTCAATGTCACACAGAATCCCATGCATTAGAACCCATCCATACTGATGAAGTTATTTTAGCGAATTTCCCTATAGGGAAGTAGCATGGTAAGACTTAGGCCCGGAACCGATTTACTTTTTCATTTTGATGTCCCCAGAGGCCAAAAACACCACTCGTTCAAATTTCTATATATGTATATATATATATATATATTTAATATGTGTGTGTCCGTGAACACGATAACTTGAATAATTTTTATCCGATTTTGATGAAATTTGGTTTGAAGGTGTAAGGCGGGATAAACTTGAATGAGTTCGCGATCCAGCATGATCGGACCATGGGAACAGGGTTTTATGGGGGGTTTTATGGGGTAAAAATTGGTTTTTCTCACTTTTGACCCTCAAAACACAAAATTTCCCAATTTTTCTCTAAACCTTCTTAAAGAGCTTAAAAAAACAAACAATTCAGGATATCAAAGTGTTTTTTTACGGTTATTGGTTACGGAGAAATCTAAAAAAATTGTAAATTTAAAATTCCCATGTTATTCTTATGGAGAGTATTGTAAAATGTTGTAGTTTGCTTGTTTATGGATATCTTTTGATCAAACTTGGCAAATATATTCATTTTATACTAAGCAATAATTATTTTACTTAAAACACACACTTTATTAGTTTCCTTGTAGCAGCAAACCTAGGTACTCGTTAAACCTAATGTTATTTAAATAGATCAATTGAAAATCAATTCAGCCAAATGGAAATTCGCTTAGGCGTCAGGTTTGCTGCGGCGGGGGTATTTTAGTTTAATATTGTTCATGCCTATTAGGTCTAATCAAATGCTCAAGATTTCTTAAAAATTCACACAAATATCTACTCTCTTTTTAATTTAGTTTACTTGTGCTATTTTTAAGTGATACAATATTAATATTTTTTCTTCTACTTTGAAATCCTAAATTCCATTAAGGAAATTTTAATGACATTTTTTATCAAAATTGAATTTTCATGTGGACATATGCATGTGTATATTTTATGTAGACTGGCATTGGTTTTGCAGGAGTTTTGATTGGCTACGTATTGGAAGTAATGCCTTTTCTTCTCCCTGAGAGAATAGCAGTATCTATATATCATTGGCTGACAGGGGTCATCATATCTGCCGTTGTTTACAGGTAGGAATTGCTTTTATTAGAATACTTTTTTTTTAGTGAGGGAAAATGTTGTTACTCACACAGGTAGCCTGTAGTGTGAGACTCCTGAATCAGACTACTCACTAAAAAACCCCTCTATCTGCCCACCTCAATTGCCTCTTCTCCTTTATTAGAATACTAGCAGCAAGACAAAATACAATGCATGGTTATAAATTACTCCTGCTGCAGCAAACCTGCAGACTAAGTGAATTTTCATTTGCCTGATTGGAATTTCACTTCAATATTTCCTTAAGTTTTCAGACATCAAATAACATTAAGTTAAATGAGTAATTAGGTTTGCTGCTATGAGATATATTGTTAGTTGAGAGAATATAAATTTTGTTGTGAAGATAAGTTTTTCATTTAAAATGCAAAATAAGTTGAGTAGCCTATATATATACATTCATGAATACAAAATAGGGCAAGAATAATAGCTCAATATTGATTTTAAAAGTACATAATATAAAATATGATGTAGTATAATTGATGGCTGTTGCACTCTAAGTATGGTATGAAAGTACATTTGATATGGATTTCTAAGTATCGTAAAAGGGTGCTGATAGGCCAGATTGCTGTGAGAGCAAAGGAGTTGCTGAGAACTTTTGTTATTCTTCTTATAAAAGGTTACTTTTTCCTAAATTTTTATGGATACTTCTTTAATGGATCTAGAATGTTTAGGGTAAGCCTCTCCTGTTCCTTTTTTCTAACATTAATAATTATGAAGATAATAATCTAGAATGTTTATGATCAGCCTTTGTTGCCAAATCAATTGCTTTACTCATTTTTTTTATGAAAAAATTTTTATTCATTAAATTAGTTTTTCTATTTCTAATTATATTTTGAGTCCACAGTCTTTCAGATTTCTTCTCACTCATAATTAATCACATCCTTTTTCATTAGCTCCACTAAATTGCTTATAGCTCCATAGTTTGCGTGAACGCTGCATCATTTGTGAACAGAACGACACCATTTGCAGCTCCGTAGCTGACTTGAGCACTTAAGTGTGTATTATTAAATTATATAATCTTCCGCAGCGTGCGAGACATGGTCAGGGATACGTTTTTGACCACAAGAAACTTATCTGATGGTACAATTCCTCGCCAAATGACTGAAGGCTATGGCGCAGATGCATGAGTGAGGGTTAAGTGTGGAAATGGGTTATGGAGTGTAAAAATGGTCGTGAAAACCTTTTACCATTGTGGTCTACTGTGAGAAGTCTGGGTACCCACCAAAACACAACTCCAAAATGAACATTGTTACAGCCATTTCAATTAAATTCAGGGTCACAAACCTCTCCCTAATGAAATGATGAGAGGGGAAAGTACAGAAATGGACTTGGGAGTTTAAAAATGGACGTAAAAATTGTCATTTTGGAAGGAGTTCTGGTTTTGGTGGTTTCTAAAACTTTTTAAAGAAGACCAAAAGGAAAAATATTTTCAAGGTAATTTTTACACTCCGATTTCCACCAATTTTCACACTTTTTACCCTCATTATCGGCAATAGCCTTCAGTCATCTGGCAATGAATTTCGCTATCAAATATTTTTCTTGTAATAAAACAATCTAAAACGTATCACTGACCTTATCTCGCATGCAGCGCGAAGTTCAATAATTTAAAAAGATGTCTGGACACACAGCGAAGCATTCGTGTCAGCTATAGAGCTGTGAATGGTACTGTTCTGTTCACAAATGTTGCCAGTAAGTGATGAGAATCCTCGTTGCGGCGTACACGCGATCCACGGAGCCATGCGCAAAAATAGCTCTCACCTAATAAACTACTCTTGTAGTTGGTAAAATAGATGTTTAGTCTTGATATTTTTCAGTTTTTACCTGTTCGCACCTCTGGCATATGGTATGTCTGGACCTTCTGCTACTGATCCCAACAGTACAATGTATGGCCTGCGGTGGATGGAGTCCTGGGAGTTTTAAGTTTATTTTTGTTAAATCTAGAGATCATATCACCAGACTGCATAACTAGGATGTAAATGATCTTTGATACAAAACTTGTTACGAATCATGACTAAAAGCTTGTGGGCAACGTTAAAGGTGCATAGACTGAACCACCATTTCATTCTACCTATGTTACTTTCTGATCAGTCCTTGTATTACTCAGCCAATCACAAAATTAGGCTTTTAAAAACCAGAGGTTGACATCCATTGTTTGAGTCACTCAGATCAAACACATATAATCCTTTTGATCCATGCTGTGAGTGGATAGAAAAGATACGCTTCGTTGTCTCCCATGACTTAATCAGAGTTTAGGGCTTTGATAGGACATTTCTACTCAAAATGAATGAACTAAAAAGTTAAGTTTTAGGTCTGGCAGACCTTGGATTTCTGGTGACTTCATAAAAGTTATTATTTGTCTATGATCTAAGATGATTTGTCTACATCCAATATTTCATACTGTGGACAAAGGCTATTATTATCATTTAAATTAAGAAAAACTTTTTATAGATTTAACAAATACCATTTCACTGACTTTATAAAACCTGTTGAAACTATGCTGATCAGTAACAAATTGCCAATGAAAATTCCTTGTTAATAATTTAATTATAGTCTTACGTTTGAAGGGTTTTATCCTCACATTTATTGTGACCTCTTACCTAGACAGTCTTAGATAAGTTTTCTAAGGGGAAGTTGGTTAAATTTTCACTACTTTATAGATAAGGATAATTTATCTAATTTTTTTTTTTTTTTTTTGTAAGCCAGTAACATAAACTGGAATATTAAAAGATACAAGATCACTTAGTTCCTCTAATTCAGAAGATTTTTTATGGCTTTCCTTACAAAATTGTCAAAGATATTGCTCCATACATTAATACCGTACTGTAATACTGGAATGGCGAACATACGAAGGTCAGTATTTTAAGCCAAGTATGAATGGAGATGTGTGTTATAGAAACTTTAAATTACCTAGTTAATATTGCCTTATTAAATTACACATTTCCAAGTTGTCTGAAAATATGCAAAACAGTGAAAATCTTCTGGAAATCGGGAAGAACATACCACCAATGCTGGAAATCGGGAAGAACATACCACCAATGTAATAACAAAGTTGTCCCGAGTTTGTTTTTTATTGCAAACACTAAAAAAAACTGTGTATTAAAATCACACACTTCTTTCTGTTATTTTAGTTTATTTCATACACACTTATTTTATGGAAATATTCTCTGGCGAAATAGTTGTGGGGCAAGCAGGATGTTTATTTGGCAAAGAAAGGCCCTGCGGATCCTGTTTGATATACCAGCTGCAAACCTTACTTTATATATAACTAGCTGTACCCGCGGGCTTTGCCCCATTTAACTTCATAAGTATTCGCATGGCTCAATCACGTCCTGGTTAAAGTTTGTTCGCTACGCTCACTCACCTTTTGGTTGCAAATTAGCTGTTGTCATAAACTAAAAAAAAATAATAGTGCTTCACCCTGTTGGAAATCCTTGTAACTTTAATGCTATTGAACATCATAGAACAGAACCAACTTGTTTAATTGAAACAGCTGTTAAGATTCATTAATTCCTTTTAAATATGGAAAAACAGGGAGTGTTGCTGAAGGTCTAAGTCCCGGAAGGTCTAATTAGACCTTCGACACACATTTTGCAGTTTTTACTTGTTGCTGAGGGTCTAATCTGGCAGTATATCGAAGGTCTAAGTCCCGGAAGGTCTAAGAGTACAGTCAATGCAAAAAACTCATCTACTGATACTGTTTTAGACCTTGCGGGATTAGACCTTGGGCACACAATGTATATTTTGTAAATAAATGTTCATAAAATGAGAGTAGCTGAAGGTCTCAGTCCCGGAAGGTCTAAGATTCAAGTTCCGGAAGGTCTAAGATGATTTGAGTCCCGGAAGGTCTAAGATTCAAGTCCTGGAAGGTCTAAGATTTGAGTCCCGGAAGGTCTAAGATGCGAGTGGACATTGCGTCGCCAGAGATGAAGGCTATACAGATAGGCAATGACGCAACAACTTTTAGAGTTGTAATATTCATAGTGATAGTTTTAATAACTCTCACGACTATTTTTTTGCAAGCTCGTTATTACAAGTACGATGGAGATATTAAAAAAATCTCCATTTATATGATTGACTATTGGATACATTAATTTTTGTTTCAGGCATAGTTGCTGGGCCATAACAGTTGCTATAGCTCAGAATAAATCATTACATAAGTTTAAATTGGTAAAAAAAAACCATCGTGCATTCGGCACAAATAAGTTAATATTGGTGTTAAAATAACATCGTTGGTTTCCTTGGTGTTCAAGATTCTGTTTTGTTTATTTCAGCTTAACTTAGCCAATTAATAGTTTTATCTTACTAATATTATAAATCTAAAAGTTTGTGAGTTTGTGCGTGCGTATAAGGCCGGTTCCGAGGCGATCGATGTGATTTTCCACCGTGGAACCGAGGTCCCCGCTGGTTTCGAGGTCCTGGTGTGAGTCCTCGGATCCAAATACAACCGAAACCATTGTGTTCGATGCTAGAGAATAATTTTAATATCAATATCAAGTGATTTTGAGCGAGACCTCGGAACCCTAATGGAAATTTTAAAACTTTTTCACAGAATTTCTGATAGGAGCGTAGCTTTTGCTAAGTGTCTTTGCTGCACTCGAGAATCTTGCCACAGTCGCCTGAGGCTCATACCAAGGCCCCACTAGAAAGAACAGGCCATGCTGCAGAATCCATGACGTCACATTAGTGGATAGATTAAATCGCATATCCCATATGTTTTAGGTAAATAAGCTGGCTGTTTGACAGATTTTGATGGTACGCGTCGTCTGTAGGCTTCAAAAGCACAATAAACATTGCGTGTAGGTTATGTTTACGCCGTATCGCTCTTTTTCCTATAATTGGCACACTGATGTTGCAATTAGTTCCTCGCATTAGGCTTAGGGTAGTTAGAAAAATATATAAATTCTAAAATGGTGTAATGAGTTATCCACCTAATTCTGATAAATCATCTCTCCTAAAATACAGAATTAGTGTACTAAATGTAGGTAAATGAATTTAAACAATGATAAGATTTAAAGTATTTTATTAAACACATGTAGGTTTACGATCTCATTGTGTTAACTTGTCAAGCTTTCGTTTTTTGTTTGACTTTCTCACTGATAACTTTTCTCTAGAACATTTACAATAGTTATTTAAAAGAATATTACAAAAAATGGTAATACATTTGTTCATAAGAGGAAAATTGCAAGAAGCACAAACCGTCGTTATGTTATTTAAAAAGAATAAATCAACTGCATCTGAAATTAAATGCACTAAAAGTTTTCGTTGACATTTTGAACTTACGAAGGCATATTCATACCTTTCACTTATAATCATCTTAAACAATTTCAAACCTACAGCTAAAACGTTCACAATATCATCTGAAGGGTACTTAAGGCTACCTCTGTCAACGATTCTCAAATACTCATAATTGATATTTGAAACGATCGTGTCTTTATTCCTGTTTAGTAATGTTACTTCACATGTTTTACATTTGTTAACTTTTAACAATTTATAGCACACATATCCACCAATATAGGTGAGACACACTAAATCGTTGTCACTAACGTCCATAAATCTAATGTCTTCATAAATGTCTTCAAATTCAGAATATTCGTTGCAATCGATTTCTTCCATTTCTGGACTAGAATTGATGGTATCAATATTAATATGCAAGTCTGAAATTTTGATTTCTTTTTTAGAGGCCGAAAACAACTCAATAATACTAACGGTTTTAAGTTTTTTTTTCTGAACCTAAGATTTGTTTAACGGTAACATTATAGCAACCTCCACTCATCTGTCTATATTGGCCAAATCTTTCTTCTAGGGGATCATTCTGAAATTTACTTAATAGTATATAGTCCACACTCCAGTCTTTCTTCAGATATTCAATAATTTCTATTATAGTGGAAGTTGTATGTTGTAGAGCTAGTTGTGTCTCCGCAGTCAGCTTCCCATTTCTTTTACTTTTTTTGTCATTTCTTTCACCCTGTATTTTAAATTCATTCCACTTACTAAGCCACAAAACAAACCGCTGAAGAAATAGAAAGTTTTCATCATTTAGAGTTCTTATGGGCTGACAAAAAAATCATTAAAACGATCACCCTTAAACACATGAGAAACGTTCATAATTTTCCACCATTTAATAACTAGTTCTAAGAATAATATAGTACCCTCGTTATTTACATTATATTTAGATTTAACATACTTTAATGCTGCAACATTTTTCTCGTCAAAAAACTTCACACATAGGTCTACTTTTTGTCGTTCGACAGATGTAGGATGCAGCACTTTTTTATTTAAAGCAGGGGCTAGCTTTATTACACTATTTTCTTCTTCTTTGTGAAGTGATTTGAGGTCAGATACACTTGCAGTACACATTTCGTCAAAGTTTTCAAAATTAGGAAATATAAATGTTTGCTTACAATCCGTTTGATTTAACCAATTATTTCTAATCGATTTGAATAGATGCACAGAATCAAAAAGAATAAACACTTTTTGTTCGCCTCTGTTATCATAAGGATTGATAAAACTTGACATTAATGTTCCACCATTTAGTTTAGCAAAAGCATTACGATTTAATTAGTTGTTATCTGTTATTATGCTTAAAACTTTGTATCCTATAGTGGTTAGCATTTTTTAATATTTGCAAAATTAATTTATGCAAATATTTTCCATCAAGGTCCTTACATGGGAATAAACCTACTACATCTTTTGTTCTAGAAAATAAACTAGTGATCATAAATGTTTGTATGGTTGTCGCTAGCTGTACAGATGAATCCCTTTCTTTGGATGACTGGTGTACAACCCCTTCTAATTTACCACCCTGATAGCTGAGTTCGGGTCTAACGTAAACTTCATCAGCAAGTAGGTTAACTATTTTTTCGTGATCCTCCAAATATTTGAATTTAGTTCTCAAATAGTTAACATGAGCAGGATCAAAAGTCGAACAACCGTTTCCAACATTTGATATAAATGTTTTTAGGTATCTTGGATGAGGCATAGTTAACAAATTAGACTTCCTTTTACTTTGGTATGCAGCTGGGAAACAAAAGAAAATAGTTGCAAACCATATTAGAGTTCTAGCACAATACCTAATTTGTTTTTGGAAAACTAGATTTATTTGTTCTTTATAAAAAGTAAGTTTTCTCGAAACTACTTCATCATTACTTGATTCACTTAGTTCATCCATAATTTCATTTATATGCTGAAGTTTGTCGGTTGTAGTAATTATTACAGAAGAGTCTTTTTCAAACAACCACTCACATAAGGCATCAAGTTCAGAAATACAACTAATTTTGTTGGGTTCATAAAAGATTACAGGACAAGTGTTGGTGATATTGTTAATTACAAAGTCGTTTTTAGTTACAACAAACGACAAGTCTTTCTTTATTACTAGGGAAACCTCAATCTTTGGAACATGTACATTGATATATTTTACATTAAATACATTGATAAAATCGTCAAAAATATTGCACTTAACGTTTTTTACAATAGGGACGCAATTACTTTTCAAATATGTTTTTAAACTTATGAAGCTTTTGATAATGTCCTTTGACTGCTCTTCTTCCTGTTGGCTTAAAACACTTTGTCCCCCTTCAATTACCCACTGTGTTGGAGTTTGTGTAGGTAAGTGTAATGTTTCTGACATGTAAATTGGCTCATTGTACAATATTGACGGTACTGCATCTTCTGTGAGCTTTAGACGGTTTCGAGGAACACACAATACCGTCCCGTCAGGCCGAACCACAGAGTCTTCTTTTACAATGAACCTTTCGTCGAAGTGTTTAATACACACTCTTGAACTCAAACTTGGTTTAAAATCACTACCGGTACGGTGTATTGCACTTATCCATGCATTTGCTTTAGTTTGGTCTTTTGGGAATGAAAAAATGGGCACTGACACATTTTCTCTATCCTTGTAGTAATTGCTCTGACAACCTGGGACGCAACAACAGTACGGCATGGTTCTGTATAGTAATCAGTGGCCAATATTGTACAAAGAAATAATATCATATACATCACGTTTTCCCCTTTATATATGATACGAACGAACATAATCAACGGCAGTACAAAAGGTTTTATGAAGAAATAAAGCGTATTCCCGTATTAAAACTAGGCCTACTGGCGGACAGTACGAAAATAT